CAAAGTACGAAGCTTGTCCCTCTCCGCCTGTGGAAGGGAGGGACGTATGTATGTTCCCCTGAAGGGGGAAGCCCTAAGGTTAGGGGCAAGACGCGTAGAGCTTCTTCTTTGAACTCAGTGCTCGGTAGAACCACCTTTAAAAGCCTGGGACGGTACTGTGAGCGCCTTCCCATACGGTAAATAGATAGAGGAACACATTCCACATGCAGGGAAATCAAAGAGCATTCTCACACAGTTGAAATCGTGAGCAACGATTTGAAAGAAGAGAATCAAGGGATTCCGGCGCACCAATGATCACCAAAGAACGTGAAAGCTCTTTTGAATCGCAGCAACTATTAGGTCGGTCCATAATTTTTGAGAACCTTTGGTGTTTTTCGATTTAATTACTTATCTTATTTCTCTGATGTATTTATTCAGCACAGTATACATCACCATTATTACCAACATATAACCAATGCGAGGGTGGGTATTCAGTGTCTCTCTTGTAGAATTTCATAGAGTTCTGATCGAAGAAATATTGGATGTCGATTTTGACTTTATGGTGATTCAAGTGAGATTTCTTCTCCAGAAGGTGATTGAGAGAGGAGAGCGGATAGTCGTTCGTTGACGCAGGATTAGTGCTACAAGGCGGAGCTAAAAGAACTGACCCCGAGAGTCTCCAATTTTTTAGGAATTTTCTTAGCAAGGCGGGCTCGAACGACCTCAGAGAAAAATAGATTTTGTCTTCCTTTGCTTTCAAGTTGAAGGCGTTGCCATCAAGCTGTCAACGATTCTTCCCATCACTGACACTGGTATTAGTTGATGCCGGTCTTCAGCGCAAAGGCCCTCCCGTATTGCGCCAACGACTCAGGAAGTTCGAATTCAGAGGGAGTTGGGTTTTACTGTCAGAACTCCCGAATCGTTTGAGCAAATCTACTGCGGCTCGTGGATTTGTTAGCACACTGCACCCAGTCCACATCACCAATGAGTATTATAGATGGTCATCCGAAGGAACTATAGGAAACCAACAGGAACTTGATGATGTCAGATTGGGTTGAGAACTGATTCGGGACTACAATTTTCCTTCGATCAGAACTCTATGAAAGTCCACAAGAGAGGCACTGAATACCCACCCTCGCATTGGCGATATGTTGTTAATAATAATGATGTATACTATGCTGGATAGTGTAGATCAGAGAAATAAGATAAGCTACTAAGATAAGATAAGTAGATAATGAATTCGAAAAACACCACAAAGCGTTCTCTTCGGTTCAAAGAGTGTTGGAACCGAGCACTAAATAAGTATCAGACTTTTTAACTGGGAGAAGTGACTTGAGTTTCAGAATTAGAAGTATCAACAATAGCCTGAGATTGAGGAGGCTGAGATAGAGATTGGCGAAGAAAATCATTTTCCTTACAAAGCTTATGAACTTCTTCAGTCAGTTCCTTATTCTCACTAGACAAAATTTCGAGCCTCTCCTTAGCTTTGAGCAAGTATTCGATAATCGTTTTCATATACGATGGAGTCGCGTGTCGGCCATGAATTGATCTAATAGCGGTCACCAGAGCATGCTCCTGTTCAGAGGCTTGAGGCGATCCGAAATCGACGAGGCCACGTTTGCGACCCTTAAATTTTGAAACCACAGAAAGAATGGAACTCATAGTCGAAACTAATGAAGGGACCTAGAAAAGTGGCAAAGCGAAAAAAGCACGGCGCTCCCTGCCACAAAGAAGCTAGCACAGTACAAGAAAACCGCAGTGAAGATCAAGACCGAAACGGTCGATGACGATCGATCTTTTAACGAAGAAATTACCTCGAAAAGTGGCAATCAGAGAAATTTTCTAAATCCCCTGCCACAGGGATACAGCGTGAGACGATCCTCCTTCCGCTGATAGAAGAGCAGGTAAGTTAGGCAGTAATATAGAACAGAACAGGCAGTACGAATGAAGGACAGCAACTCAAGGCGGGAATACGGAGAGCACAGAACCACGCCGCCGCTCACTGCCACGACCAACACAAGAACTGTCTTAGTCCTCATAATTTTGGAACACCCTATATTTCTCTGAAAGCGCGACTTTTCAACCTTTAAACGATCATAACTTCCTTCAAACTCATTCATTTGGGAAGCTGAACACGGTATGAGAAACTACAGGATTCAAGCTTTCTAAAAAGTACCCAAACGTTCCTGAAAAGTCAGCAGTTCAAAAATTAGTCCCGTTGCTACTTTTTTGAGGGGCATTCTTCAAGCCATTTTCTTGAAAACGCGGGTTTTTTAGGTTTCACTGGCCGTAACCTCCAGGGAACAATTCGTGTTGAACATAGGATGTGTTAGAAAGCTTCGAGCATGCGCTTGCACTGACATCCCCTGCCTTGGTGTGCGCCACGCCTCGGTCGCGCTTCTGATTCGCTGATTCATTTGAAAGCTCATTCAGAAGGAAGCGGCTTACAGATGCTCTAGCATCAATTATCTTGCGTAAACGTAATGTGGTGACTATTGTCCATGTTGTCTTAGGCAATACTCCAGCTACACTTTAGTTTCAAATGTGGTTTCGTGGGTGGACCCATGTCATGGTGGGAGCACTTTTTGAACGATGCTACATGTCTTGCAGCTGCTGTTTCTGCAAGTCTTCCTTTCTCATGCTCTTCCTGAAACATGGTTATGATCAGTAGGGAGATTACCACAAATCCCACTGCCGGCCACCGAGAGAGTACGACCCCCCCCTCCGGGTCCATCCAAGTACGACCCCCCGTTGCTACTTGTAGCAACATAGGGTTGACCCTGGTTACCACCCAGTGACTTGGGGCCGCTCAGATAGAGACGTTCCCTGAGGATCTAGTTGAGACCCGTGTGTTTAACACAAGCAGTGTCACCCTACGCAGGGTCAATCGGGGCTTGTGGCCGATTTCAGGTGCACCACTCCCCTCTACTATCTCCTCGCTTACCTATCGTCAATGGATGATGGTGATGGTTCGTAGAGCATGACTCACCCTGAAACATAATTCCTCGTCTAAAATGACAGAACCCTCCCTTTCTTGGTTAGGTGGACGTTCGGCCCATATGGTTAATGTACTAAATCGATTCAGGAGCTCAGTCAATCGATAATGCTGGTAAGTGTTTATATTATTTTTGTTGTTCCTGTAGGAGAGACCAACGAGCAAACGAGAGGCGGAGTTTCGATTAGAAGGCAGCCCATTAAAGTTGAGGTAGAGGTGGGCAAAGGGACCTGGTTGAAAAGCATGGTTAACAGCCAAAGAGACCCTTTCCTTGTCCACTGACCTCCGCCTTGATGCGACGCTCATCGGACCTGCCCTTTTCAACGCCAACACTATCTGCTGAACGGCTAGAGACCTGCGACAAATTGTTGGCCAGTCTGTGTGCCTGCGGCGGGGAGGGCCTCGTCGGGGCATATCTTTTGCTGAAAAATGGGAGTCTCGTCTCGCACCCTCACGGGCCTGCCCTTCTTTCCGCTAGGCAAATTTCCCCTTTTTCGAACTTCGGTCTTAGCGTCATTCATATATGAATTAAGACTTCATCATTTGCATCATTTTGGGACTTGAAACTGTTCGCGCTTACTTAAAACTGTGTACTTCCCAACCTATTAGTTTGAGAATTGTTTCCGTTCGCCTGATTTCAAATATTTCTCTATTTGACCACCTAAACTTGTGAGCACATGCGAAGGGCACGTGCAAAACGGAAGCTATACTCTCTTTCAAAAGACGAGAGCAGCGTCGGGTGCAGACCATACACCACAAGTGACGACGGCCTCCACAAAATGTAAATGTTTTCTGCCAATGAAATGATTAGCCTGTTGCAGTTGTATTCTATCAGTTGTCACTAATTACAACTATCATTTACAAAAATCAGCTAGATTCACTTGGAAGCCGTCGTCACTTGTGGTGTATGGTCCGCGCGACGCTCCTTACGTTTTTTGAGATAGATGGAAGCCTACCTCTTTTTCTGGCCCATAATAATACATTTACACAGTTAAAAATTTTAGAAAAAGTTATTGTGTAATGGAGAGCATAAAATGTTTCCTGTGAAATTAACAATTCTATTTGTGACACTGAAAAATGCGATACAAAGTACATTCATATCTGGTTCGTGGGACATGGACTTGACAGGAAAGTGAGCAATAGACTGAAGCACGTTTTCGAATCGCTGTCTTCTGCGCACTGAAAAACCAACAAGGTGTGGTCCGCTTTGGTTCCAGAACCACCACATTGCAGCTCGATCTGGTGCTACTCCTGAAGTTTGAACTTCACTCCTATATCAAAAATGGTCCAAAATGTTGAGTTCAGGACATCAGGCAATTATGGAAATTATGAAACACCCCATTCACCTCAAATCAGCACCCTGTGTCTCCAGCGTCACGAACATTATAAAAACAAGGTACAGATAGAGTCCATTCCGATGAAAAATGAGAGCACTCAAGTACATCACATGTGATTAGATTCTGCCTCAAAACTTTGAAGGCTGTGATCACTTTAGGTCTTAGAGCGGTTTACAGAGGGCGTGGAAGTGCTCAATGGTATGTCAGTGGCAAAAAAACAGAGAAGTCATTCAATAAAACGCGAAAAAGGAGCCCCTTAGGCTGTAGATCTTCGCTCGAGGAAGATTAGCGAGTGGCGGATGTGCGGACGAGTTATACCGCAACGCGTTTGGTGGCACCATGCCAATCCATGCTCCAGTCGAGTTGCTCCAGTTGTGCCGCTGCTGGCAACGCAGCTCGTCCAAATCACCAACTAAACTAGTGGGCGGATCGCTTTTGGGGCGGAGTGCTTTCGAAGTCCTGCTCAGCAACCAGCGCACCTTTCGTCGTGAAAGCGCCACACCTCGCTTCTTGGCAGCCAAGTACCCTGCTGT